TTCTTTTTTTAATGGAAATCATTCCAAAATGTACTTTTGGGTATATGAAGGGTAAGGCTGCCTGGCGTTAAGAAGAAGTGGGACCTGAGGATCCATGCACAGTTTAAAAAGAAACCTCTCTGTGCCTCCTCTTTTTTGTCTCACTCTGCCTCTGTTGGCCTCTCCCTGGCTCTCGTCCTCGCTCTCATTCTCTGAATTAAAAGGACGACCTGGAAGATAGATGAGTTTAAACCCAGAAGTCCTCACCAATAGAAGGCTGACTCTTAGTTGGTTCCTGATCCCCGCCCACAATGACAGCTCTCCAAATCTCCGTGGCTTAGCAGAACCAAGATTTTTTTCTCATTCACGCAAAGTCTGGCATGGGTGGGCTCCTGTCCATCGGTGACTCAGCGACCCAGGTGCCCTCCATTTTGTGATTCTGCCACCTCAACCCTCGTGTGGCAAGGTTGCCGTGGACAGGAAAGGGGTGGTAGCAGCGGCCTGCTGTCTCTGCGCCTGGTCTCAACATAGGGCAAAGGAAGCTGGGAAAAGCAGGGGCACCTGGAATATTTAGAAGCACTTACCATCCCTTTCATTGTCGTTTCCTCCTGTCTCTCGAAGACCCAGCCCCAGTTCCTTGGCTTGAGATGAGGATAGGGTTGGCGAATGAAAGGCCACAAAGAGGCGGTGGGTAAGACAGCCTGCGCTGGGCCTGGGGGAGGGCCCAGGAAGTCCAGACCCCTGGACGGATGGAACCAGGACGGGAGGTGAAGGGAAGCCAGGCATCAGGAACCCTGAGGGAGGAGATTCCTCCTGCTGACTCCTGAGTCAGCCTTCTTGGCAAAACAGCCTATTTTAAATATGTACCAAGGAAGCTCAGTGTTTAAAGCTGACTTGGGGGAAAATCGACACTTAAAATACAAAATGATTTCATAAACCAAGTTTTTAAATTCCAAACATATATATATGTATGTAAAGTGCGTAATGAGGCACCTTGAATCAAAATCAGATCGTATCTGTGTACAGCAGGAGAGCCAACCTCGGGACGGCCTCAGACAGCTGCTGATCGCATCTTACGTGCGTCCAGGCTTTAACTGTGGAACAATTGTTTTACCTTTCTAAGCATCTGGTTCTTTGTCCAACTGATGATGAAGATTCTAACATGATCCTTGGCCTTTTTTAATCCCCCTGGCTCCTCCTTCAGCCACCACTGAGGGACCTCCCTCCCCCTCCCTCTGGCAGGGAAGGTCACGCCCCTTCATGTCATCTTGATCTGGGTTCACCTTGCTGTACACCCAGAGGATTGGAACAAGCAAATGGAAATGTAGGAGGCACGGTTTCTGACTTTGAGATGACAGAATTAGGAAGGTCAGGCGTCTGAGGTCTGCTCACCTCCAAATAACAGCTTCTGGAAACAGAACTGGAAATCATAATTGGGTCCATTTCTTCTTTCTTAGCTTGTAGGATCAGGAGTAAGCTCGCAGAGCGTTTGATACCTATTATAATTCACTGGTTCTAGGCTGAAACTCTAGAAGGGCGGCCTGTGTCCCTCTCAAATATTATTCCCTGCATCCATACAAGACATCCATTTCTGAAGAATAGATCCCATATTATTTAGTGGGGTCAGGAAAAGAATCAGGGATCCCAGGAGTCATTTCTCAGCCCCGTTTCCCCATCATATGAGGCCAGAGCACTCCCAGGCTGAGGCAAGGAGATGGCTTCTCAGCCTGCAGCCAGATGCCCTGGCTGCCAGGACACCCCGGTCTCTAAGCGTTGGTAGGGCTGCCCCCCTTTCCTGGATGTGCAAGGAGAAGCAGATGACAGGTCTTAGGCTGGCCTCTGTCCATACAGGCACCTCCTTCTACCCATCACACTTACAGAAAGTGTCTGATCTGAGGGAAGAAATATTGCAGGTCGTAGGAAAAGGAAATTTAAAATAAAGCTCAAACCACTCCACAAACAGTCTGACAAAGGACCACAAACGTAATTTTTGTAATGCTCCTTCCTTTCTGCTGCCTGTTTCCTGGGGGGCTGAGGAAGAGCTGGTCTGTCTGTAAGCAGGACCACTGATGGTTTTGCCTGCTGGCCGTGTGGGATGCAGGCAAAGCCTCAGGCCTCCATCCTGGGGAGTGCTGCAGGAGGGCAGTGGCCAGCTTTCACAGTCTGGTGGGCTGGAAGCCAAGGGTAGCCGGTCTCTCCCTCTGAGCGAGCCTCTGGAGTTCTCGGTGGGTCTGGGCCAAATGGAGGGCGCTGTGCTGGCCGCTGCTCCCCGCCCAGGCGCAGCGCGACTCACACGCACGCCCGGGAGTGTGGGCCAGGCGACTGGAGCTCCCTCAGCCTTCCCTGTGCTTGGCTTGCAGCCTCTTGGACATTTCCTGGGACCACCCACAATTCCCCTTCATCGTTGCTCAGAGTTTGTTTTTCTAGTTGGATTAGTCTAAGAGTAAACGCCATAGGCCTCTGGCCCTCCAGAAAAAAATCCATTTTTGTGTAAAGTGAAAATTAGACTCTTAAATCTGCAAAGAAAGCTGTTTATCTTACAAATTTATTCTTTTTATTGGGCCACACATATCCAAGATAGAAAGATAAAAGGAAAACAGATCCAGGCCATCACTTGGAGCGACATGCAGCGAGACGCAGCTCACCCCAGCTCCCGTAAAGCCTTCCACAGCGGCGAGGAGCGCCGCCTCGTCCGTGTGTCTGTCCACAGCACGCCCTGGGCAAGGACTCATGGAGAGAGAGCGGGGTGCGTCCTCACTCTCTCTGTTCGCTTCTGTTGGACAGCCCACTGCTGCTGATCACAGTGGGTCCTTGAAGGAAGAGCCGGGGAAGGCACGCTGGTGCAGGTCAGGGAGCTGGTGGCCCTGCGACAATGTGAAGTCAGAGTCCACGCCCGCCCACCTCTGTCCTGAAGCCAACCTCCAGGGCACTGAGTGCTGCGATGATTGGCATTGACAGCTTTGGCCTCCTCCCTTGAACAGGCTGTCTTAACTACGTTGTGGGGAACTCTCAGGCAGCGTTATAATCAGGCTCATTATTGTTTTCGGCTGACCTCATGACCCCACAAAATGAAAGCTGATTAATGGCGGGAGGACACAGGCAACATGCTGAGGTTGGGGCTGGTGGGGGCGAGAAGGTGGTTAGGAGACGGCATTCCAGCTGTTTAACCTAGGATGCAGTTGACTTGGAACTGGCACCTGGCCATTGTTCTCCTGGGCTGTGGGCAAACTGGCTCTTTAAGACAGAAGTGGCCGCAGCCCCTGGTGGACTCACCTGCAGTGTGGAGTGCCTTGCTGTGGCTGCATGTGGGGCACTTGTCTGCTGTGACGTTGCAACACGCTCTTGTGCCTGTTTGCCCTTATCAATAGCCATCTTTGGTCACGTTCCCACATTCGTATGGGCAACCACAAACTTAGGTCTACGCAGGGTGAGTTCCAGATGTGGGTGAACTCAGTCCTCCCAAAAAGTCAGTCTCTCAAAATTATGAGGAAAAAAAATGCTGGGCAATTAGAGCCTTTGAACAGCTCTTCCAAGGAGGGTTGGAAGAGTTGGGAGAATAAGATGAAAAGTGAGCCTTTGAAGAGCTTTTCCAGGGTGACGATATCGTCCTGCATAGTCCAAAGGCAGAGAGGATGCTCCAAGCCAAAGGGTTGCCACGGCTGCTCAAAGCAAACATCCACATAAGAACTGAGTGCGCATGCGCTCGTCTTGCTCATGGCCTGTAAGGCTGTCGCTTTTGGCTGTTAGAGAACACTAGGAACGGATGTTGCAAAATGAAAGCAATTTGCGTTTTCCATTGCTTAGAAGGTCCAAACCTTGTTTATTCCGCTCTCTGCAGAACTCACAGGTCTGCTCATTATCCCAGAAGTTCCCCCTTGTTCTCCTACTGAATCTACCGTGAGGCCCAGAGGGCAGGCTGGAGGCCATGGCGAGAACCCACCAGCCTTAGGACCTTCCGTTCTGTGCCAGGCGGTCAGCCTGCAGTTGTGCGGGGAGGCCTGCAAGGCAGGGAGAAATCGAGTCCAGAGAAGAAGCCTCGCGTGCCTGCCCTGCCCGGAGATGCAGATTCCCAGCTCCTGCCCTGCTCCCCTGATGTCGTCTCTTTGTCAGTGTGATGTCAGGCCTCGGGTGTTGCAATAACGTATCCTCCAACCACTAGATATTTTCACAGTTTTATTTACTATTATGTCCCATCATTTCTGTGCAGAAGGCAGCCGTATGTAAATTTTATGCTATTTTCTAATGGTTTGGGTTACATAACAAATAACAGCAGGAGGGAAAATTTGTATTGATACTTTACAGAGGAAGTTCTCAAGCCACCGCACGAAGATTTAACTGCAGTGGTCTAAGTTTATGGGAGTTCTGCAGCTGAGTTTCTGCACATGACTTTGCAAATGTCACTGTATGTTTATCATGGGCTAATTGCGGAACTGCATTTCCATACTTTTTCTTCTCCCTTTCATGAGATTACACCAGCTAGTGACGGATACAAGACTCTACAAGGAAGAAATGATCAGTTTTGGATAATTTTCTTTCCTGTCCCGAAATAGCCGTGTGTCTGCATGTCTTAGGGACTCAGCCGAGACACGTTTTTTTCGTTTGTTGCTTGATATAATGCAAATGTGATTTCGATCCTATAGCAAACTCTCTGGCTAGTCCATATTATAAATTAATCACATTCAACAAACACTAACATTTTTAAACTTTCCAAAAAAAATATTTAATAGGAGCTAAGCAAAAGAAGAAATCAAACCAGCTGCTGACACAGCTGTTTCTTTTCTTGTGTAATTCAGTTCAATATAAAGGTACCATATGCTGCTTAAAATGATGATAGGAAAGATGAAATAATTTAAGAGAATAACAAGAAAATACATGAATTGTCAGCATTCTGTCAGATTTAAAGAATGAAATAGACAGGTGTAGTATTGACATGTTTAACTTTGTGTGGTGCTAGCAGTTTTGGTGCGAACAACTTCTGACATGTGCTGAAGTGATGTGAGAACGTTTCTCCTCCGCTGCAGACATCGGCGAGGAGGCTGGGAGATCCACCGGCGTCCAGCAGCCCGCGCTGCTCCGCGACAGGAGCCTGGGCTCGGCCATGAAGGACTGCCCGTACTGTGGGAAAACCTTCCGGACATCCCACCACCTCAAGGTCCACCTCAGGATACACACAGGTGAGAGATGCGGGACGCAGCTCAGAGCAGGAGGCCGGGACTGCCAGGCGCCCGTCTCCGGTCCACGCCGACTTATTCACTGGTGCTGAGTTCTCCCTGGGCCTGTCTATACACCACTGTATGGGTCCAAACTGACCCTAATGTCCTGCTTCCTCACTTCGCAATCACCTTCCCAGATGAGACCCGGGTGTGTCGAAGGAGCTCTCCCGTGGTCCAGGTCTGGGATGGGGGTGCTCTGTGTGGGGCGCCAGGAGACTTTGCTGCCGGCTTCCTTCCGAGGCACTGAGACAGCAGCTCCCACACTCTGAACGACCCGCATCTCTCAGGTGCAGGTGACAGGAACCCCGCTCAGGGTCTCCCAAGTGTAAAAGGGAAAGCGCAGCTCCCCTGAAGTCTGGGTGGGCTGGCTTCGGGGTATGGTTACATACCCATATCTGGGATGGGACAGGTGGAGACAGCCCCTCACACCGCACTGAATGGAGGATGGGTGGCTCCCCGCTGGTCTCCTCAAAAGGAAAATTGAGGTGCTCTTAACCAAACAAGGGGAAACGGCTGCTGGACCACTCCATCATTTCTCCTGCTTTGGCGTCACCCTAGCCCCTCGTAAGAGGACTTCTCTTCGTCTCTCTGCCTTGTCCCTCGGTCATGGTTCTTTTTAGGTTTTCTGCTAGTTGTTTGAACGTTGCCGATACAAAAAGAAAATCTATCTGAGATATGGACACCTCCATTTTCTTTGATTTTTCTCCTGACACTTTATCTATGGGAGTATGAGCTGCTTCAGAGGATAGACAAATATGCCATCTATTTTCAAAAATAATTGTGGTCTATTTCCCCAGGAATCAATAAAGCTCAGGGTTGTGCAGGATATTTAGTGCATGCGGACCTAGGTGCAGTGTGCGGTTAAAGACGGGGAGCCCCTCACCTGGAACCTCACCTGGTGCCCGCAAATCTCCCTGACACGGAGAGGAGCCCTGAGGACAGGTGGCAGTGGGCCTCCAGCTATCTTCATAGCCTGGGGCGCAGCTGTGTGGGGCCACTGCTCTCCCCATCCTGGGTCACTTCTTTCCTGGAGTCCTCCCAGGCTAAAGAGGGATCTCCTAAGATTAGGCCCCCGCTCCCATCCCCCTCCCAGGTCCTGGGGGGGCTCTGATCCCATGGTGCACTTTCTTCAGCCTCCCGTCTCTCTGCACCCACCGCCTTCTTCCTGCTCCCCGATGCAGACTGCTTGTTCCTGCAGCAGGAGCTTCGTCCCCACCACCTCTCCCCCCGGGACGTGCTTCCTGCAGGTGGCCACTGGGGGCTTAGCTTCAGTGTGGCCTCTTCAGGGAGACCATGCTGACTATCGTGTCCACGTTATCCCTCACACTCGCTCCTGCTTTATTTTCTTCATAAACTTAACGCTTTCTGAAATGATCTTGTTAGTTCCGTTGTTCATCTCCTTATGTATCGTTTGTCTCCCACCAAGTAGAACCTGAGGGGGCAATATTGTCCATCCTTTTAACTGCTAGAACTTCCAGAATCCCAGGGCTTAAAGAGCACTTTACACCTAGGGGAGGCACAATAAATGTATTTGAAGGGTGGACTGACAGAATGAATGCGAGACTAAGTGCGTGGCCCTCCTCCTGTAAGCCGTGCCCTGTGCCAGGCGGCACAGAGGGGCCCAGTGCAGTGGGGAGGGTGGCCCCTTCCCCCAGGGGAAGCGTGGTCCTTCTGGAAAGGCAACCTGAACACATAGACCCTTCAGAAGCCACGGCATGGCAGCCAGGCTGCAAATGCTAGATGCCTGGTTGCAGATGGAAGAACCCCCTCCCCAGGAGCTCGGTAAGGGTCCCTGAGTTCCTGCCTCAGGATCTTCACACATCTCTGCCAGACAGGTGGCTTGGCTTGCTTTCTCATCCTCAGAGACTGGCGCCAGCCTCCCCTTCTCGGTGAGGTCTCTCAGTGATCAGGCTGAGGCAGCTCAGACATTGGGCTTTCTCAGATTGTGCCAACGCCCAACCTCTACACACTGGAGCCAGGTCCCCTTGGGTTGTGGTGGTGGTTAGGGGGGGACCACAGACTGCCAGGTCATGGGAGGCAGTCCACCAGGGCACGCGGCATTGGGTTGTCCACAGGTGTGTGGTGATCTGGCCAGGGGTGTCCTAAGATACCGCCCTTTTCTTTAATGTAGACACAGGCCCCTGGCCAGGTTTGCCAGGTGGGGGGGTCGGCCCTGCCAGGGAGTGTGGGTCAGGAAAGAAAGGGCAATGCTTCCCAACCAGGAGCTCTGCCGACCCTGTGGGCCCCGACCCCCACCGGCTGGCCTGTGGGTAAGAGTGGGCACTCCACGGAATGTTTCTGGGTAAATTAGGACCACAGCTGGCAGAAGTCCTGCTGAACCCGGGTGGAAGCAAATGGGTACTGCTTTTGGAAGTTTTAGAAAGATAATTTTTCCCAAACTTCTGCTTCACAAACTTCTGACGTTTGTGACCAATAGTCTTTGGAGACACAGAAAAGCAAGCCAGGGCCGTGGACAGAGGCATTCTGGAAACTTCCCAGAATAAGGGAGAAAATGAAAGAAGCCATGGAAACATCACACCACCAGCCCCCTCGGAAACAGCATTTGCAGTGTTTAAAAGGCGGAATGATAACCAGATAAAGATCAATTTCCTTTTTATCAAAGAACAAAGAAGTTGGAAAATGCTTACACTTGTGCGTTTAAATAGAACAGAAAGTGTTACATGTTATAAATCACCAAAGTAAACATCCATTATGACAATGCAAAAGTGTAGATTACATGAGTAATTAAAAATCAAAATCAAGTGATTTGCTAATAAACGAGTTCACATGGGGCTCCAGGGGTGGGGAGCACCTCTCCGTGTGTCTGTATTTCTAAGTGACATGGCCAGAGGACGGCAGTCTGTGAAACAGAATATGTTTTCCAAGATGCCGTCTTTTGAAGTTTTTCTCTAATGGACTCATAGGAGCACATTTAAAAATCCAATGTTTAATAAATATATTTTAATTAGCCAGGATCTGAGGTTTTACATTCTCCATATTTTTCTGTCCTACTCCATCTTTTTGAGAAATCTTGATCATATAACGTCAACCGATAAAAACCACTTTCCTTTTTTAACTCCACTACATTAACTCAATTACCACTCTTCTTCGCCGAACACCTGTCTGTTAGAGCGGCGCTGAGCAGATGCACCGGGCAGGGTGCTCTGAACACCTGGGCGCTGGGGGAGCCTGCAGGTAGCGGGAACTCCTCTGCTCCCCCCTCAGCTCCAGCCAGATCTGTGTGGGACTGCAGGGGGCACCTGGAGGACCCCGGGAGTCCCCAGTGACCCTCAGATCCTAGAGGCCGCCCCACCCTGGCTCCTGCAGGGCAGACGTTGATGGCTGGCCACCCTGGGGAGGCCGAACTTCTCTCCCATTTGAAACATTACCTTGGGCTGGTCAGGACCCCATCGCCGGACATGTGCCATTTGTCTTCTAGAGACACTGCAGAGCCAGTCAGTGCGGACTCAGAGAGCAGCTGGTAGTAGGGCTCTCCAGAGAAACAGTATGTATATCTATACGAACTGTCTCAATTACGGAGGCTAAGAAGTACCAAGATTTGCATTCGGCACGCTGGAGACCCAAGAGAGCCGAGGGTGTAAGTCTCAGTCTGAATCCAAGTCCGAAGCCAGGAGAGGACACAGGTCCCAGCTTGACAGTCAGGTGGGGAGAGCGAATTCTCCCTTACTCGGCCTTTCGTACTCTTCAGACCCCCGACGGATTAGATGAGGCCCACCTACCTGGGGAGGACTATCTGCTTTAGTCTACCAATTCAAATGTTAATCTCATCCAGAAACACCTTCACAGACACACCCAGAACAACATTGAACCAATTGTCTGGGCATCTCGCGGCCTAGTCAAATTGATACTTAAAATTAACCATCACACTGGGGCCAGCCGGGTGGTGTAGTGGTTAAGTTCATGCACTCTACTTCTGCAGCCCAGGGTTCACAGGTTTGGATCCTGGGCACAGACCCACACATGGCTTATCAAGCCATGCTGTGGCAGGCATCCCACATATAAAAAAATAGAGGAAGATGGGCACAGATGTTAGCACAGGGCCAATCTTCCTCACCTTCACCCCAAAAAAATTAACCATCACAGAGATGCGTCAGCAAACATTTAGTCCTAGCATGCAATAGGAGGCAGGGATGTCCCCTAGGTTACCCTTGACCAAGGCGAGCCAATCGTTTAATTACCGGCTGCCCCCAAATGCACTCCATCCTTTCCCTCACTGCCCCTCTGCCAGCCCTGCCTTAGGGATAGTCTCCAGGGTCCAGGGTGTCTGTTCTGTGCACAGGAGGTAGGCAGGTGCTGCTCAATTCCTGAAAGGCTGGAGGGATGTGTGTTCCCCACCTAAGCCCCAGATGGGTGTAACACCCATGCCTTGGCTGCGGGACCCCGGGCTGCTTCCCTTGGGTGGCTCTCCTGTGTGTTGGCTTTCCTGGGAGGTGCCCGTTGTTTCAGGAATGACCATCGTAGAGAAATGTAATAAGCAACCTCACTTGTGAAAACTTGGAGGCATGAAAGTTCAGGGACTAATTAAAAATAAATCTCATTAGTTTTTTCCCTCTCAAATTGTGCAAGTGGTTTATTAATCTGGTTTTGACGTGCTGCGTGCACTGGTCCTCCGGCCCTGAGTGGGGGAGCTCCTTTTGGGAATGGATTTGTGGAAGGAAGCCAGCGGTGGTTTTCCAGGATCTCAGGGTGGGCTGAGGGGCACGCCCAGCCCTGCCCCCCACTCCGGGTGTGTGCCTCCATGAGGCGGCCCCTGGGCGCTGGCTGAGTGGGACGACAGGGGTGCCCTCCTTGGCTCTCACCTGCATTCTTGTCACCAGACACCAGGCTTCTTTGTCCTGACAGGAGCAAAGAGGATCGCGGAAGTGGGAGGACTTCTCTCCTGGAGCACCCCCAAAGGGCTGTGTGCCCAGCGGAGGGTGGGGGCTGGGAGTTATCTTGCCTCAGGACTGAGGCAGTGTCTACACAGCACGACTGCAGAAAAACTGAGCCACCAGGGAGGATGTAACTACAACGCTAATAGCAAGGGTAGCCAGCACTTTCTATAGACTCACAGGTGTGGGCACTGTGTAAGCGCTGCCCTCGAACTCACTCCTTAATCCTCACGCCTCCTCGGTGACCAGGTCCCACCCCGCCCCCTTGCAGGAGAGGGCTGAGCCTCAGAGATGTGAAGTTACCCACTCGGAGTTGCCCAGCATTGACTACGGGGTCACAATGCAGATCTGCCTAATTTGGAATCCCATTCTCTTAACCGCTGCGCTGTATTGATATTTTAACTTTTCTGGGTGAAGTTTTGGCTTGTTTTAGGAATTAATGCAACATTTCTTTGACAGTGTGTGTCCACACCCTCACCAGCAGGAGGAGAGGAGGTGACTTGGACCCACAAGGTGTGTTGACGCAGCCTCCCGGCGATTTGAAAGGGAAGTCCTGTGCCCTCTGGCTCCTCCTTTACCCCTTACTCAGACTGGCCTGAGGCCAGGCGTCCTTGATCCTGCCTGCCTCAGTTTCCCCACCAGCACAATGAGGTCAGGGAGGTGGTGAGGCAGGGAAATGGCCACCGTGGCATGTGGAGGCCCTGAGCCCCGCTTGGAAGATGGCGTGGAGCGGATTCCTCGCCGGCGGGCATCAGGAGATGAGAAACCCTCACGCCCGGTTTGCTAACTGCCTTTCATCTTCAAAGAGTTTCCGAGTGAGCACGGACTGGTGTGTGGATGGGGGTGGACGTGGAGGTTTAGCCGGCCCGACCCAGGTGCCTGACGCCCGATGCACAGGGGAGCGTTTCCTCTGCAGGTGAGGTAGCCAGGCTACTTAACATTTCTAAAAGCACGTCGAAAAGTGTTCAGAATGGGTTGGTTCAAATGGGTGCTTTTCCGGTTCCCTTTTCTAAAGTGAGAGCGTGTGTTGTTGTCCTTAGTGGGGGACAGCCACCTGAGTAACGATGGAGAAAAAAAGACCCACTTGCCCGAAAGGAGATGATTCTTTTTTCTCCCTTTTGCTTTGAATTAAAATTCCATCCTTTTTCTATTTCTAAGGTGAACTGAAAGCCCATTTTCTTCCTCCATTGTCCCCCATCCGTGCTCTTCCTGCCTTAATGACATCCCAAACTTTTGTTGGAAATAATTGATTGAATTTAAATTTCCTTAAAAGTTTGAGAGGTAACGTTACAGTATAAATTTCCTACCAAACACTAAGTAGGGAAATATCCATTAGTGAAATTAACTACAGTTTCTAGGTAGCTAACAGTGTGCCGTATACAGTAGGGCATGGCTAATGAACACTGCAGAGGGTGATATTTCATTATACAAATTAATGCTCACATTTTAATGGGAAAGTCACATAATGAATCTCGGCTTCAGTGACAGCAATTAGAGACACAGATTGTCCCCTTCTGGACAAGGCGCTGTTTAGCAATAAGCGGCTGTGTGAAAAGTCTTCAGGTTTACAACATATATATGCTTTGGGGGAATTAGTGTACAATTTATATTAATGTACTGAAGCTTCGCTGCAAAGGCACCGCCATATTTATCTCTCCTGGTATTAACTAAGTAAAGACATGTAGAAAGACTAAATAAATATCAAACAGAGGATGCAAATACGGGAAAATATTCAGTTACTCAACATAAAAGTAAAAACCCTTTTGGAGATTTAGCACACACATACAAAAAGGTTAGAAGCATGAAGCACTTCTTAAAAGCTTGGTAAAGGGGTTTCCGAAGAGAGTAATATGAATCCGCCTGCTATTTTTGGAGAGGTGCTTGGGTACTTGCTCTGAAATGCTCCAGAGTCACTCACCAGGACAGCGAGGGTCCCTTTGGCATAGCAAGCACCGAGTGGAGGCTCAGAAGGAAGAAGGACATGGCCGTGTCAAAGTAGGCACATGAACTAATTAAACCACTGGGGTACATTTCTAAACATTTGTGATACAACGTTGGAGAAGTTAATGCTATTCCAAAGTTGAATCTATATGTTATGCCATATGTCAGTGGGTAGCTGGTTTAATGTAAGATGGTTCCAATAATTTCGTTAGTCTGTTGGAATGATGAACTGATGATTTGTATTTTATTACACCTTTTCTAGCAGAACTTTCTTTCCTAGTACGTTGTTTGGGCCCACATCTTATTCCTTTAAAATACTGTGAGAAGTTTCCCCACAGAAGGCCACCCTTGTCCTTACGAGCTTCCTTCAGTGGGTGACTGGCTCACTACTGGGCGTCCTTTCCCAGACATACGTTTCAAACTGGCTGCCAGTCCAGACCCCGTCTGCAGATAGATACTGTGGCCCTCTCGATGTTTGGAAAAGTTCTGAAGTAACCAGGATATTGCACGTAGAAATCAGGGTGTGAGTATTTTCTTAGAAAGTCAGAGGTCCTCGTGTCCACTGCTGGCTGGCTGTAAGCGGTGGCTGTCCTCTAGGAGAGGCGTTTGGCCCCCGTCCCGCTGTTGAGCACACTCTTGTGCTCTGCCTGGCTCTGAAGGCATCTGGTGTGTGGCTCCTACAACAGACTGACGCAAAGGCAGTGGATCCCAAATGTCATGGAGGGGACCCGAGGGCTCATGACCCCCAGGAAAGCATGGTGCAGTCTGAGTGATCCCCCCAGTAGATTTGGATTAATTTATGGCCTGAGTGGCCAATCATTCAACTAGACAGAGCTGCTGGCAGGGTCTGGGGCTGCCGGTGCCACAAGGCTGCACGGAGAGCAGCTTTCCAAGTCTCGGGCAGAGGCTGGCCTGGGTGGGAAAGGGCCGGGCGGACCAACGACTTGCTCCTTGGCCCAAGCTGGGGCTTTGTTAGAGTGAGCCTGGCGTGCTCTGGTTGAAGTGTGTGGCCAGATGCGGTGCCCCTGACCACGAAGCAGCTCTCGGCACGGGTGGACTCGCCATTTGTTTGTTGGCCAACCCGAAGGGCAGAGCTTGGTGGGCCTCAGAGCGTGCTGACGCTGCTGACGGTGCCCCCACCCAATCTGGCGCTGGTGTTGTGAGGGGTTTGCCTGTCCACACTGGGATGTGCCCTGGGGCGGCGTGCTGGAAGATCCCTGGGATGGTTGCAGTGGAAATTGAGGCCTTGGGCTGCCCAGGCATTCTGCAGGGTGCTCCCCCGATGGCTCCACCCCTGGGTTTGCCTGGCCAGAAGCGCACCCGTGGGGGCTGGCTGTGGTCTCAGAGCATGGCCGGTGCCCTCTCACAGAGATGAGCGCAGGGAAGGTGAGGGAGGGCTCCAGGCGGAGGGCAAGAGTGGTTGCTCAACTCGTTCAGGGATTATAAAGAAAAACTGGGGGTTTTGTTTATTTTTTAAAGCCCAAATCCAAAGGGGTGGGTTTAGCCCATGGAACTTCTCTCCAGAGCCTTTATGGGGGGGAGGGGTCGAGGGGAGAGGGAGCAGCCGGCTTCCTGGAACTTGGCAGGAGGTGGAGCCACAGAGAGAGACACGTGGACAGCGCGGGGTTCTTTGTGGGGGGCGGTGTGCACGGAGGGCAGAGAAGGGGCCGAGGAGGCCTTCCAGAGCCATGTGCGTTGTGTGCAGGCGAGGAACCCCTGAAAACTCACCTGGTGGCCCCTAATTCCCCAGGGCTGGACCCTCAAATGCTAAGAACCAACTGTTGCTTCTCAGCTGTGGCCTTTTTCCCTTGGAACAGTGGAGGCCAAGGCCTGTTTTGAACTTTAAAGAGCAGTGGGTTGAGTGAAGACATCCTTTCCTGCACTATTTGTGTGTTTGTGTGTGGTGTGCATGTGTGAGTGTGTGTATGGCGTGCATGTGTGAATGTATGTGTGTGTGCATGTGTGGTGTGTGGTATGTGTGTGTGAGTGTGGTGTGTGTGTGCATGTGTGATGGGTGTGTGTGTGAACCTCGCTTGCTTTACTAGCCTTCTCATATGTCTCCTCTGAAAGCCACAGAGCAGGGGCCGTGTCTCTCCGGTTCTTCTTTCAGCTCCCCTCCTTCCTGGAGGGAAGGGCTGCTCATTCGTCCATTGGATCTTTCAGTCAAGAAGTGTGTGTGAATGAGTGTGCGTGTGTCTGGGTGTGTGAGTGCACACTCTGTGTAACCTGTGTCTCTGGCCCTATTCGGGAGGCACGGTTTAGCTCTTGACACAAGTTTTAGAGTTGACACGAGGCCTTAGGGAACACGTGCTCCAACTTCCCACGTTCTAGGCTGAGGAAGCGAAGGTCCCAAGATGGGAATCCTGTGCCCGGCGGAGTGCAAAATAGCGCGGGGTCTCTGGTCCCCAGTGCAGACTCTGCGAACACCTGCTGGGGTCTGCAGGTCCAGACTACCTGCCCTGCTCAGCAGTCCCACTGCACCTGCCGACAAGGGGCCTTCCTAGGGAGGGCCTACGTGTGGCTCTCCACCCAGGCTGCACAGAAGGCCACGTGGGGGCCTTTGAAAGACCCCAAAGCCCTGTCTTCACCCTGGGCCAAGTAACTCAGAATTTCTGGAGGTAGAGGTGGGGCCAGGTATCAGCATTTTAAAAAACTCCCCAAGCGGTTCCACTTTGGCTTTTCAAAGTGTAATCTTTACGCTGTGTCAGAATCACCAGGGACACTTGTTAAAAATGCCCATTTCTGGCCCATACCCCAGACCAAGGGAATCAGAAGCATTATGTCGTTAGGTCCCAGAACTGGTGTCTTAAATTCCCCTGGTGATTCTAACGCACAACACAGTTTGAGAACCACTGCTCCGGTGTGCATTTCAAATATGTGGCCCTTGGAAATATACATGCACACCATGGGTGCGTCCCTGCCGCCCCCACTGAGAAAGGCAGCTGACCACCCCACCCGGGCCTGCAGGCGGAAGTCCACATTCTCCCTCTGCAGCTCTGCTAATGAGTGCCCAGGCCTCCTCTGCAAACCCTTTGCCAGATGCACTTAATCATTTCCAGGTGCGTTTCTGAAATGCAACCTGAGTCTCACTCAGTACCTGCCGGCCTCACCTCTGCCACCCTCACTGCAGGGCCCTCCCCCCAGGTTCCCGCTGACCCCGGGCCAGGACCCTGCGTTCCTGGTCAGGCTCTCTTGTCACAAGCCCCATGACCACCCCCTCAGCTTCAGGGCTGCCTCTGCTCCAGCTGGCCTCCAGACTTCCAGGTCAGCCCAGAAGTGCCCGTCCACGGTGCCTGTCCCCCTGAGGGTTCCCTGGCCTCCAGCGAGATGTCCAAGTAGCCGTGGCTGAAGTGAATCCGAGCCTCACACAGGGATTGACTCCAAGAAGTGGGAAAATGGTGCCTGAAGCCATTTGTACCTTTACTTCAAGGGGGATAGTGTCTTCCTTGTGAGAATCATGCCGTTGGCCTAGCCAGAGACAGGTGTGACCTTTCCATTTAGAGAAGTGGATTCCCAGCGGGATCCCCTTCCCAGACCATGAGGCCACCTCTGACGTGGCCAGGGGGTCCTTCAGCTGCTTGTAGCAGTGGACGAGGAGCACACAGCCACCATTTTGAAGGGATGGGCATAGTTTCTCGAAGGTTCTGGCACTCCATCTGGAGATGACGTGGAGTCCCCCGCTCAGAACAGGGGCTGGTGGCTCTCTGTTTACAAAGTCCCAGAGTCTTCCTTCCCCACATCAAATGTGTTACCCGCAAGCGCCCTATGCCTGGAGCAGGGAAGTCGTGGCGTAAGCTGAGATGACACAGCACGGCGTCTGCAGAGGATGCCATTCACCAATGCTTTGCTGTTGCCCTTATCTCAGTCTGCTTTATGATAGAGCAGAGGAAGGGCTGGGGCGTGCCAGGCTTCCCCAGAGAAGGAACCATGGATATGGACAGGGTGCTGCTGTAAACAAGCTCACAGGGCTGTCACAGTCCCATTCCTTCCACAGAGCCTTTCGATTCCAAAGCCTAGAAAAGACCTTGGATTGCTAACAAATTCTTGGAATATGTTTAAATCCGCATTTGTTTACCCTCCTCCCTTGCTCTGTCCCACCACGTGGACAGGTCCAAGTTGAGTGTTAACGGTATCTTTTCCGTGGTGGGAAGAACAATACAAGTTGGTGTTGAATTTAAATAAATATTTAATTCATGAAAATGATCTTATATGTTTTAAAACACTCTTTAAAGCTATTTTTATTCTCTAGAAAGCGCTTATTATAGGTAAATTACACATTTTACTACCGGAGCATTAGGTTTGCCATTAGCACAAATTTAAGGCGCTACAAAGACCAGTAGATAATGTTAATTTCAAATACAGAAACTAAATATATTTTGTGCCTTTTTATTACTCATTTTCTTTTAAGTTTTATTGACTGCTTTTTATCTTAACTATATGTCTTTACATGCTGCAATCATAATGCACTGTAATGGTATTAATATTTTATAGAATCAGTATTTATAGTTCTTTATTTAGAAACAATGCAGTAGGTCTGCAGATATCTGAGCCGTCTGGAATGGTGCCCTCCAAATAATGATAAATTACTTGTGCAGTATGCCATTTGCTAATTATATCCATGATTTACTGCAGAGCAAGACTTAAATCATTCATTTCAGTCTTGCGTAACAGTGCCATAAAATTTTTAGGTTTAAAAATGGTTTCCATGTGTATAATTTAAACAAATTTTAGAGCTATTGTATACACAAAATATTGCAGCCACCCATTTGTTACATACTTTGTCTTTTTAAACTTCTACTTTTAATGATCACTGTGGCTGAAATTATTATGCTTAATTTTCATAATCATAGCTTTTAAATCTACAGCCGTTTTCACATGTTAGATAAAGAAAAAGATAGCTAATTGTGTGTAGATAGTATGTCATTCCTGAATAGTCCCAAATGGTACAAAATCATTAAAAAAGCTTAAGAGTACGAATTATTCTTCTATTAAAAAACAGTTGTTCTCTAACTAATTATTAGTTTGAGCTGCTTTGTTTCCAAGAACAAATGTTGATCCTCCTAGCCATGTTCAGCACACCAAAGTGAGATAAACACTTTTTTCTCTCCTTATACCAAAATCCTGCAGGTGAGAAACCCTACAAGTGTCCCCACTGTGACTACGCCGGCACCCAGTCAGCCTCCCTGAAATACCACTTAGAGCGGCACCACCGGGAGCGGCAGAACGGGGCCGGGCCGCTGTCTGGACAGCCCCCGAACCCAGAGCACAGGGACGAGCTGTCCAGCAAAACTGCCTTGTTTATCAGGCCAGACATCCTGAGGGGGGCCTTTAAGGGTCTCCCTGGAATGGACTTCCGAGGTGGCCCTGCCTCTCAGCAGTGGACGTCGGGAGTGCTCCCGTCCGGAGACCACTCGGGGCAGGCCACTGGCGGGTCTTCGGAGGCTCCTGCAGACGCTCTGAAAGCCGCCGACCTTCCTTCCAAAAGCACCCACTTCTCTGAAATCGGAAGAGCTTACCAGAATATCGTGAGCAACGGTGTCAATTTCCAAGGGTCCTTGCAAGCTTTCATGGACAGCTTTGTCCTAAGCTCGCTGAAGAAGGAGAAGGACATGAAGGACAAAGGCCTGTCTGATCCTCCGTCCACGAAAGTCCACGGGGCGGACGGCAGTGAGGAGAAAGCTGGTGGGAAGGCTGCCCTGAGGAAGCTGGAGAAGTCTCAGTACGAGCCTCTGGACTTGTCTGTGCGGCCGGACGCCGCCTCCCTCCCCGGCTCGGCGGTGACCGTGCAGGACAGCGTTGCGTGGCATGGCTGCTTGTTTTGTGCGTTCACGACATCGTCTCTGGAGCTGATGGCTCTTCATCTCCAGGCCAACCACCTAGGCAAAGCAAAACGCAAAGACAGTGTCGTCGGGGTGACCGTCAACTGCAAAGACCAAGCCCGGGAGGCGAGTAGAATGCCTCTGCTGCCCTCGGTGCAATCCAGCAAAGAGATGGCGCTTTCCCACGTGACCGGGCCTCTAGACTCTGCTTCTGAGAAGATGGCCCAAGGACAGGTCAAGGAGACTCTGGGGGAGCAGAAGAGCGGCACGTGGCCCGGCCACGTGGACCCCGCGTTTTGTAACTTCCCGACGGACTTCTACAAGCAGTTTGGTGTATACTCGGGTGTGGTGGGCTCTGGGGTCCCCAGTTCCTGCCCCAACAAGGAGCCTGATGGGAAGGCCCACCTGGAAGATGATGCCCCTATCCTGATCCCCGAAACCACAAACAAGACTACTACCGATGACCTCTCCGACATTGCCTCCTCGGAAGACATGGACTCCTCCAAGGGAGAAAACAACGATGAAGAGGATATTGAAACAGAGCCGGAGATGATGAGCAAGCCACAGTCTGCCCTCAGCAAGGACAGCAGCAGCGATGGCGGGGACAGCCTGCTGCCCACGGGCACCCCTCAGCCTGCCCAGGGACTAGTCTCACCTTTACCCCAGGTGGCGGAGAAGCAGTGGCATGGCCCGGGCCTTCTTCCAGCCCAGGACCCCTCTGTGGGCCTGCCCAAGCCGGAGCGGGGGCCCCAGGGCCTGGAGAAGCCAATGAACATGCTGTCGGTCCTCAGGGCCTACAGTTCTGATGGCTTAGCAGCCTTTAACGGACTTGCGAGTAGCACAGCAAATTCTGGATGTATCAAGAGGCCAGACTTGTGTGGTAAGTTTTAGAATCCTCTTCCTTTAGTCCATTTCCCAAAACATCAGTGCTGAATCGTGCGTTTAAAAAAAATGACTTATCCATTAGCAAATTTTGAACTAAACATAAACAAACCCAACGATGCTGTATATGCAATGTAGACAATCATGAAAGTCAACTTCATTTAGAAGTTTTAGAAGTCGTGCTTTTGTGTTCCAGTGTGCATTGTACAGATCTGCGAGGCCTGTACGGGAGGCATGGAGAGGCGGTGGGTCACAGGGTGGACTGCTCCTGGTTTTAATCCATAACTTGAGGGGAAAAAAATTGAAAAAAGAAAAGGAGACATGGTAACTTGCAAACTTTTCAGTATTTTCAACTTATGCATAAATGCCTAAAGACAATTCTTTACTGCTTTGCTCAGCCAAATCTGCTTTCTTAAACTTTCCTTTGTATTGACTTAGAGGACACTAAAATCATATCACACTAACCACAGTAAAGAAATAAAGCTACCCCCGTCCAAGTAGGGAGATGGTTTTGATGTGTTTGTGATCCATCTTTAGACATACCAAATGGCAGTCCCTGTGACTTTGGCCTTCTATTGTTGCCTTCTGTCAGTCTGTCTCTTCACCTGTCTGTCTGTTGTTCTAACAAGAAATGTACATTGTGAAGGCCCTGGTGAGCAGTGTTGTGATCCTGTGTGTATGGATTTATGCCTGCCTGATCTTCTCAGCAAATTGGCACTTCTTTACCTTCTTAAAGAATATGGTTACCCCAAAGTAATTCCAGACCTTAAAAATTTGAAGCCTAGAATTGGATCAAATGATGTCCAGGTGGGCAGGGAAGATCGAAGTCGTTCTCCTGACACCCAGGTGTTCGTATTTGAAAGCCTTTCTCCGAATAGAAGCTCAGTGTGTTATTTCCAGTCCCAAATATCCTCGCTGGAGGCAAATGGACATGGTGCCTTTCCATCTTTAATCTATGAATCGATTTATGTGGCTTTACTTCACCTGTTGAAAAAAGGATGGAAGGGAGGAAAGGAGGAAGAGAGAGAGGAAGGGAGGAAGGGAGGAAGGAAGGAGGAAAGGCAGGAGGGGAGTATTTCTTAATAGCTGATATTCCTTTTAGCCCAGAGTAGGATTCAGGAAGCTGGGCTCGGTCCACGATTTAAATTGATATATTTCTTTTTTCCTCTCCTTCCCTAATTCACTAAGAACTGGATCAAGCAGTCAGAAATATTTTTTGAATTGTCAAAAATCACTAAATGGATTTCTGACAGCTCAAAAAAATATTGACAGTTCCTTATGCTGAATGATTCACAAGGCCCCATTAACCAGTACCCCCAGATCTATTTTTAGCCACGTACAATTCATTACTTTTGAAGCTGTTAAAAACAATATTTAAAAGAAGGACAAAAGGGTTTTATGTCAGTCCAATTTTTTTCCCTTTTCTTCCGGGGGAGTGACGTTTAAGTCTATTTTTTTTTTTCATTGTTGTTTTAAGTTTGTGATTGGGGTATTTTTCTTTTTTATTGTTGTTTGGGGATTTTTTTAAAGTCTATTTTCAGTTCTTTCAAATACCTACAGAGGACCATGGTTCCTGCCAGGAATCCATGCATCAGAAAAGATCAAAACCTGGCATGTTCATAAGCTCATTATTATTGAAATGAGCTCGTATTACCCCTATTAATTTTCCCATCTTCCTATCAATGCTGAAGGAAGGCTGCTGCCTCGAGGAAGCTTGCCCAACGGTGTCCTTCTGCTCCAGGCGAGGGTGGAGGGGAGGCAGGGGCCGGCAGGGCCTGCTGTGTCCTCTGAGCCCTCAGCGCTCAGGCACTTCTCACCCCTCCCAAACAGCCGCTTGCAACGCTCCCCTGACATTTTCCTTCCCTTAGTGAGCCTTTTGGCCATCGGCCACAGACCTGGGGTGGAAGCGATGGCCCTTCTCCTGAAAGGGGAGAGAGGACCCTCAGGCCAGCCAGGCTAAGAGGCATCCTGGTTGCTTCCCCAGCCGAGGGTCCAGGTCGTACTGCTCCACCTTGCACTCCTGGTAAGATGCCAAAACTAACTCTAACTAACTCTGGCCATAAACTGCCTATTTGTAGAAAGCACAAGTTTTGCATTTCATTTGTCCTCATTTCTCCTGCAGCCTCTTGCTTTAGCTTGGAATCGGGCAGCGAAGGTCCTTGTTTGCTTGAGGTGGGGTGGAGGCCCTGTCTTCCTGCCTCCAGGATGGGCCTGACTCCGTCCAGTTCTCACTCCCCTGCTCCTATATCCGGCCCACCATAATCAGAATCCTCTTCTTATTTTCTTACTGGCTGCTCTGGTGTCCCAGTACCCAGAAGTGCCAGGCATATTCATCCTTCCTCAGAGTTGATATCTGGGAGGAAAACTTAAATCCACTGGGCTACAAAATGGGCATTTTTCTCACAATCTAGTTCACTCTCTTTCTAGCATTGCAAGAAGCACAAATGATCATTGAGAACTTCCACCCCCATTGGCTTGACTTTGCAAGGCTGGAAATGCCATTGGCACGAGGAATCAACCGTTCCTAATGTTCTTCCCTTTTCCCTGCTCCACTCAAAGGAGATACGGGTTTCCAAACTGAACCACCAGCTCGGAATCTGGTTGCCTCAAGAAGCTGGGCTTTGCCAAACCAAAGAATTATTCTATTTCTCATCTCATAAGAGTTTGGTGTTCGATTTTGTCTGGTTAGTAAATCCAAACCCCAAATTTGATGCCCTTAGAAACAGACTTGGAGGAGGAGCTGGTGTGCGTCTGTTTCTATTCTCACGGGGTGTAAGCGTGTTTGAAGAAGCGTCAGTAAAATCCCCGTTCAGATCACATAGACTCCCCACAGGGCACAGCGGCTTCTCAGACACATGCTGGTGAGTTGGAGAAGGTGGCTCCCAACCCTGAGTCTGTGGGTGACACTCATGTCGTGGGCTCTGCTTCCTGCGCTTCCCTAATTCCTCTTTCTAACTTTTCAAACTCTGGTCCTGCTTTCCTTGGTATGATGGCCCAGGGGTCCCGGCCAATGTGTACCGCCCATTCCTAGCTGATGCCTTCTAACTCTGGTGCAGAAGAATTGATAATGAAGAGAGGGCCGACCCACCAGCTGGGTAGGAGAGGCCTGTGGCTTGTGCCAACACTGAGAGCCTGGGCATGAATTTTCAAGAGATCCTTCCACAGAGGACAGTATGTTAGCCTGTCAGAGACGTGTTACAGATTACCCCGAGGCCGAGATTGAAGCTTAATCTTGGATTCAGCTGGAGCACACGCACTGTTGCTTCTAGAGTGGGTCAGGGCCCACCGGGGACCTGATCTTGTTACGTGGAATCCTGCTCCAGTCAAAGCTCGCCTTTCTTGAGGTGACTTCCAGACTCCAGGCCCGGCCCACGGTTCTTCATTCTGTTGAAGAACGTAATGCCCAAGGGTGCTCCCCGGCCGTCAGAGAACTTGGACGGACTCTCGGTTTTGTTGGTTTTGTAATGGGACAGGATCCACATGAGTATATAATTAGAGGGTAAGGGCAGGCCGGAGCAGCATTTCCGTCCACTGAAAAGACAAGGCAGACCACCTCCTTGTCCAGGCTGAGGAATGTGACGGACTGTTGGGCCAGCCAGGAGCCGGGAGATCCGAGGAGCACGGAAGGCACAGGTTCAGTGTGTACCCGGCAGCACAGATGCGGGTCTGACAGCACCTGTGGGGCTGGCTGCCTGGCCAGTCGCAGAGCCTGTGGAGTTGGAGAGCAACCCAACCACCCTTACTGCTTGCCTCTCGAGCCTGAGACAGATGGCTGGCGGCCATCGTGAGTCTGGTCCTGTGTCCTGTGGTGAGCCCAGGGGGAGGGTTGATGGGGAAAGGCAGGGAGAAGAGCATGACCCCTCTTTACTCTTCAAAGCTCTGCTCTGGAGTTACCACCCCTCAGGGAGGCCAGGCTGAGCAAGGAGAATCTGTCAGCATGTCTGTCACAGGCATAAGGCTCTTGTGCAGTGGCTCTCAGGCCAAGTGACCCACCAGGCCTAGGAGACAGCAAGTGAAAAGGCAGGGCCATTAATAACGATAGACTCAATATTCCCAATTTATTATTCTCAGGTTATTAGGAAACTGGCTTCCCTAACCCAAATTATGCCTGAGACTAAGGATCCTCTCACAGCAATGAGAGAATTGGGACCCCTTTCCTAAAGAACAAAATGATAGGGTGCATTGAAACCTCTCTACTCGTGTATTCTAAAATGTGTGATGAAATGAACCAGGATAACCAAACGGAACTCTCTTAAAATGGGACTTCTGTCCTCCAAAACCTCGTTGATTTCTCGGCATAGGCAGTCTGAAAATATCCGCCATTGCACCAGCTGCAAAGTGTGGAGTAGGAGTTGGCAACTATTTTCTTAAAGCCAGAGAGTAAACCCATTAGGCTTGCAGGCCATGTGGTCTCCCTCACCACTGCTTAACTCTGCCTGTAGCGCCAAAGCAGCCGTAAATGATAATTAAGTAAATGGGCATGGCTGTGTTCCAATAAAACTTTATTTAGTAGAACAGGCAGTGGGCTGGAGTTGGCCCGCACGCAGGTCGTGGTTTGCTGACCCCTGCTCCAGTGTGAAGAAGGATGTGTTGCCGGGTCATCCCTAGAGAAGATGTGCAGAAACCTATCTGCTGTTACTCCACCAGCCAGTGCGATGATGCAGGGAAGACCCAAGTCAGTGGCTGCAGAGCTCCATCAATTGCCATGCAATGCCAAAGCCAGAGATGTGAGACAGAGGCAGTCTCTCTTTTCCCAAGAGAGAGAGGACTTGTAGACCCGTTGTGTACCCGTCTCTGGAAGGCCACATCCCTGCCTATGTATTAAAGACTTCCAGGAGAACACGCCCCTCTGGGGCTCGTGTGGCGGTTCCAGAGCCGCCTCCCATCATAGCCGAGGCAGGCAGAGGAGGAAGAGGCAGGGGCTCCGCCTTGGCTCTGAGGAGAGCTTGCTCTGTGAAAGCCTAGCTTTCCTCACTGATGGACCGAGGCATGAGGACG